CAGGTCCTGCCTCAGACACGGCTGCCTTCTCTAGCCTCTGGAAACTTCGAGGGGCCAGCAGGCAATGCCAAGTTCAAATAATGTGATATTTGTTCTTCCTTGAACCAAAGGTATTTGTGTCATTAAAAAAGTGTGGAGCAGAAAGGACTATGTGCTGTATTTCCTTTCTCCAGCTGAGCACTGCTCTAGTCTAGGAGGAATAATACATGACATTGTTAAGCCACTTCATAGACCCACTTAAAACCTATGAAAGTGGCAGCACCCATAGGTCAGTGAGTCTGGCACATACACTGGTTTGTACCCAGCCTGGGCCAGCTAAACAACAATGACAACTGCAACAACAACAACAGAAAATACAGCCAGGAGTTGTGGTGAACACCTGTAGTCTTAGCTAATTGGGAGGCTGAAGCTAAAGAATCGCTTAAGCCCAAGAGTTTGAGGTTGCTGTGAGCTATTACGCTACAGCACTCTACTAAGGGTGATATAGTGAGACTCTATCTCAAAAAACAAAAACCCCCCAAAAAACAGTAACATGAGGTGATGGCAGACTAATGTTGCAAGGACCACCTCATGATCCTTAGCTGAGCAAAAGGTGATGAAAGGGGTAAGGAGCTTGGGAGAACTATGTGTAGGAGCTCTGTATGTGTAGGTCACCCTGTCTTGTTGCAATGATTTCTTTGCATCTGGCAGTCTGGCTAACATCAGATAGACCACAAAAGAAATGGTGGCTAACTGCTGAGCATTTTTCTTCCTGGGGAATTCTGTAATCTTAGTTCTATAGTTAATGGCCCAAAAAGAAATATGAGAAAGTAGAGATCCTCTGGTATACTGAATGTACAGAAATTCATAAGCAAGGACATACATAGCCATTATAATAAAAAAAATGGTTACTGGCTTCAAGACAGAGTATCTTCTGTTCCTGCAGGGTCACATACTTAGGGTGGCTAAGAATACCAATTGGTTTGTGTGCATATTAAGGCCTGAGAGGCAATGCTGAATTAAGTGGTTCTCTGCTCAGGCTTCCTGTTAGGGTTCCACAGCCAGGTTGATAAAGTCCCATCAACAGTGATTCTGCCTTCCAAAAGATTGTAATAGTCTCCATTGTGTAATCTATGTGGTTTTAATTAAGTGTCTCCATGTGATGCTTAGATTAGGCTAGTGTCAAGCATGAGGACTTCCAGATACATTCATTTATTTATTCATTCATTCATTTCTTTATTTCTTTATTTTTTTGAGACAGACTCTTACTATGTTGCCTTTGGTAGAGTGCGGTGGTGTCATAGCTCACAGCAACCTCTAGGCTTAAGTGATTCTCTTGCCTCAGCCTCTCAAGTAGCTGGGACTTTAGGCACCAACCACAAGGCCCGGCTATTATTTTGTTGCAGTTGTCATTTTTGTTTAGCAGGCTAGGGCTGGGTTCAAACCCACCACCCCTTACACCACATTAGGGTGTAATGAATCCAGATAATCCATACACCCTTGGTGCCTGTGCCCGGCATCATAACATTGCGCTATGGGCGCCAAGCCACCAGATGTATTTGTGAAAGTTGAGTTTAGTCTTTTTTCCAGAAAGAGGTCATAGGGCCTGCTCATCTTGGTTTTAATATGGATA